ATCTACATCTAAAGTTCCATACGACCCTCCCACATCAGAATACAGAAAACGCCGTAGGGTATCCGACACTGATTTAACTGATGACTTACAACCCTATCCCAAACAACGCAGAACCGCGAGTCTATCCCACGTAAGAAGCTCCTCCAATATTTCTGATCGGATTTTACGGACTTCCACTCGATTGAAGAAAAAAAATGTAAGGACAATTTCCAGTAAAAATCCGCAGTTAGCCAACACTAAGCCACCAGTGCAATCTCACACTTCCAATGTCACACTCGACCGCATCCCACAGAACCACAAGCCAAGCTCTACTTTAGTTCCAATTGTTGTGATCCCTTTTGTATCCATAAAACATAAACAAAAGCAGAGCTTTACTGTCACACATTCACCTTCAAAGCGTCATCAGCTTGATACTTGCCAAGAAACGCATCCCGCTTTGGACGATCAACTACCAGCCTTGGATGACATAGTCCCATCAGAATCTATCTCATCAAGTCGTTTGTTTCCGCGTAGATCTAGACGCCTGATTTTGTCCTCTGGAGAGAGTGATTCAGCAAGTACCTTACGTGGCTACCAACAGGCTTCAACTTCTACTTCCAGAATTAAACGGGGTCCTTCATCGATGCCTAGTACAGATTTCAATTTTACATCAATAGTTTGTTCAGGTTCACCTAATAGACCATCTATTTCTACCAATCTCGAATCAACAAAAAACAATCAATCAAAAAAACACAATCAAAAAAGAAACAATCAATCAAAAAAAAATCCACGTCCTGTACCTGCACCGGATCACATTGTTCAAGGCCCTCGACTTCCTGTGTCGGAACTACTCAGACTTCAAACAGCTGTCAAACATATTATCACTCCGACTTGGATGACTCGCATTCCCACCATGATAGGGACTGCACGTGCTGGAACTCCGAAAGCTGCGGAATGGCAGAGCCTGTACACGGTCTATATGGTCCTCTCCACAGTTCCTCGACTTTATGCCTCAAATGACCCGGATGATCAAGTCGTATGCCGAAGCATCATTAACCTAGCTGAGATCACCAATTGTACATTTTCTCGCACTTTCTCTAAAAGAGACGGGGACGACTTGCAGTCGCTGCTGCAGAAATACCGACAATGTCTCCGTGATCACTGGCCAAATGTCACTGTCAAGAGCAACTCGCATATCGCGCAACACATTCCTGATATTGCCACCCTGTTTGGACCTCCGGCCTACACTGCAGCCTGGTCTGGCGAACGTGTGAATGGAGAACTCGTGAAAGTCCCAACCAACAAGCACTTAGGTGAGTTTTTTTTAGACTATCTACATCAAAATTCACTGACGGACTAACACCGTTTTACATGTGCACAGATCAGATTGCAAAAACCAAGTGTGAATCTTTTATCCGACGAGGTCTCTTCCAAAGCATCTTGAACCATGCCCCTGGTTTCCTCAGTAGGGCAGATTCGACTATACAATCTCGGGCAATTGAAACTCTTGTAGGCACTGAACGCCAACGTTGGTCGGCCGAAAAACATCTCGATACATCTACCTATCAAAAGTGGTTGCAATACCTCAATTGTGACATTTCAAGTCGGTATGGTCAATTCAGGCGTTGCTTTGACACCACTGTGGGTGATTCGGGGAGTAATGCAAGATTACCCAACTCAGTTCAAACTTCTGATAGAATCCATATGCTGCGCCAGAATTTCTCTGCCGCAAAAGTCCATAAAGGTAATAGCCTCATTACCTACCGAGTAAGGCAAGATACTCATTATGGACAGATTGATCATTTTTTTCGCTCGACACAAATTCCAACCAACTTTGTCTGTGTGAAGCCATTTGTTCCCTTGAATGCTGATGATTCTATCAAGAATATATTTTCCCATCATCCCCGTCTTCATGCAACCATATTATATGATGAGTTTTCTGAAGTTATCATTGTGGATTCTCAAGATGTATTAGGACATATTGCAGTTGCTCAAAACCCGGTACAGGCTTTCGGGATTGGACCTCAAACAATTGCAGTGGTCAGCTTAAGAAGTGCAGTAAGCCCTCAAATATTTCATTTTCTTCATGATTCGCTCCTTCCTTGTAACTGATCTTCTGGTCTTTTTGATATTTTAGAGCTCAAGGATTGAGGATATTGCTTCAGATAGTATGCAGATATTATAAATGGTTCAAACTTTTAGAACCAATAAGATCTTATTTTTGATTTTATTTTTGACTATGTAATTGAGTTCACCAAAATGCACGAAGTTGCAACCAAACACTGACAGAATTTTTGAATGGATTAGTCTCAATCTCCTTCTTCATGTCGCAGTCTTAGACAATTATTTCAACTGTAGTGATTCAACAAGTGTTCTTTTTCAGTTGATTTGGTATGAATATACACTATATACAGTGAGAAACCTGTAAAAAACAATTTACAGTAAATCACACAGCCCAGCTCACCAAGCATATGAGCTACTTTCTACAAAGCCGTGACTATGTTTTCTACTTTTAGGACATTTTTTAAAAAGGAATATGATATATGAGACGTAAGATAAATGTGACTACAAATGGAATGACTATCTTGTCACAAAGTATGTATGTACAAGCTGGCATGAGCCAGCAATTTCTGGCTGGAGATAAAACACAATGGAAACGTGAAAACAAGACTACATTGATTGAAGACATTCATCTAGATGTTGGACATATTTTTCAAGGATATCGCTGGGAGGTTTTTGTGTTAAAACATGTTTGCGAACTCGTCCAATTTTGATTAGGTAATTGGGACAGTAGCAATTTTCGGGCAAGTTTCGACACGGCTTTGCTGTATGATTGACGCGAGCCCCAGGCTTTCGATTTGCATCCATGCGTTTTGCTGTTAATCTTCCTGGTGCAATTTTTTTGGAAATTTCATCGAGTAGGTGCAAAAACCTTTCATACACTGGATTACGCCATTCTAGACCAACTGCGCGAAGACCGTCTCCATCTTCTTCAGTGTCAGAACAACACTTGATGTCAGGAAGTATGGCCAAAGCGTCCAATCCAAGCACTCGTTGGAGGGTAGATTGACGATACTTGAATAGCTGTACATTTGAATATAGAGATTTTATGTTCAGTCCGTGAAATATGTTACTAGTGAGTTAAGATTGAAGTTGAGCGTACAGTTTTGTGTCGCGCGTTGCGAATCTTGACTGATTTGTAGTCGTTATTTCTTGCCTCTTTCTTTAATGCAGACTTTTTTCCACGCAGCCAGCGCTCTAAGATACCAAAACATTTGAGTTCATCGATCTGTTGCGGATCAATTGAATAGTTTGAAAAAGCGCTGTGGTCTTTGGCCCAAGTCCAATGTTTCACCACAAATGTAAGCATCGTTGAGTTCCAGCGAGATGATTCGGGTTGCAACCAATCAAATGTGAGGGGGTCGATTTGGATTCCAAAGTGATTTAAATCGTGATAAAACAGGGTTCGATACAGATACCAACAATCTTTTTGACGTCGAAGTGGCTTGTCTGTGTCGCTAGGTGGCTGCTCGGAGGTCGACTGAGGCGTAGAAAAGACACTTCTATCGGCCTGAATCAAACTTGGCAAGATGACTGGAAGGTTGGACAGTTGAGTGGATGTAGGGCTGGGAGGGTAAGGAGCCTCTAGCTTAGTTCGTTTCATCAAAAACTTGAGCCAATCGGTTTGTGATTGACATATGCCATCGTTATGATCGGGTAGCCATCCCGCGACCTCTCGGTTTGTTGAGATTAAGCTCATCTGAACGGCATTGGTCGAACTGGACGCTGAGATATATAGAGGCATCATGTTAGTCAGAAGAGGACAATAGAAACAGATATCAAGCCTTACGTTGATTATCCATGTTGTTTGATTTGTTGATCTTGAGGGAGTCGACTAGTGGTGACTGTGTTTCATGCGAAATCAAAATATGCTCGACTGGCACATCAAGGGGTGAGCAGTTTGTAAGGCATGTGAAGGCCCTTTGTTTGACACGAATCTAGCTCTTTAAGAAGATATGAAAGGATGTGTTCGAAGTGTGACCATAGCACAAACGGAGCTCCTGACAGTTGAAGGTGATTCTAAGATGATGATACTTTGGATGATCTCATTTTATTTTGATACTATTGAGCTTTGTGATGATGGTGAATCGGGTTTTGCTGGTTGATGGTGATAGGGTGATGGTGATGGTACTTACAAGCAATCTAGAGCGCCAAGTACAAAGACCAGTAGCAGAAGAATAATCAGAAAGGCAATGAAAAACTATGTATGTATCATACCGCTTGAATTTAAACTCGAGAAAGCTACATAGTGATGAAAAAGAAGCAGTGCCATCGATGATTTGATCATCACAGTTTGAAACCGGATGAAGACCGAGGTTACTGCCAGTGTATGGAGGTGGAGGGAGTAAATACATGAGCCGACATGAATCATTGATGGACAACGAGAGTTTTGGATCGGGTAGAAGTGTTATCATTGCAGACGAGGTGACGAGCGGGGCGTGCGTCGGGCAGCTATCTGTCGGTCACCTGCAGGCCATTTCCTGGCTAGATTTGGGCTGTGTCGGGCTGTTTTCCGACACAGAACCCTCTGGCGTAGACATCGGATGGTAAGGTTGTTGGTACCTGTTGTTTTTTCTTCCAAAGGATTCCTCATCACAGATGTTTCTGAGTATGCAGTAATGCTCCAGCTGAGTCCTGAGCACTCATCTATGCTCAAGGGATGCTCATCCAAGATGAAGACAAGCATGCCTTGGCAAACTCAAGCAGAACATGAGTATTACACGCTGAGCACCTTGCACAGCCAAAATTATGAATTCAAAGAATCTGAAAGAAATTGAAACTTTTTTTGAGAAATCAGGAAAGAATGGTGTGCTCACCTCTATGTGAGCTATGATTTTGGCCCCTGTGATTGCTGTGCCACGACTCTTGTCGAGAACCCATCACCAGGCCTTAACATATTGTCAGATCTCAAAAAGACAAGCCTCGAGGCATCAAGCAAGAATCAAACCAAAATCACCTTATTAGAATTAGGACTTTGATTAGATATCGAACATTAAGAACTCAATCGATTATCGAAGAAGTAGAATTGAAACTTACCACATCATCGGATTTAGATCTCAGAATACATTAGAAACCTTAATCCAAGATTCAGGACTCAACGTGAAGACTCCTGCACCCCAGACCTCGAAATCGATCTCCCGGACTTTAAACTTCAGAATTGATCAGAACTTTGATTTTTGATTAAGAACTATAACTTTGATAACCCCGCAAAACACCGATCACGTCTCCCTCGTACAGAATCCCCCAAGACGACGTCGATCTCGACAGTGACTCCGAACCGAACTTCGTCGACGTTCCCACAGAACCCCATCCTTCGCTGCAGGCCCCCCCTCCAAGCACACCTGATACAGCTATGGAAGAGATCCAACGCCAGATCCTTGAACTCCAGACCTCGTTAGCTCACGAACGAGGGCTGAGGGAACAGGCTGAGGCTAACCAGCGCCGCGCCGAAGAACGGTTGATTGCTATCGAGTCGCACCAGGCTTCGACAGCCAATGCTCAACCCGCGACGAACCCATCGCCCAATCCCGCAGCTATGAGCATGCCACCTCCTACTCTTGGAGTAGCGCCTGTCCCAAAGGGACCTAAGGTATCAACCCCGGACAAGTTTAATGGGACTAGGGGAGGACCAGCAGAAGTTTTTGCGAGTCAAATCCAACTCTATATGATGGCTCATCACTACTTGTTCCCCGACGATCAGAGCAAAGTTGTGTTTGCGCTGTCATATCTCACCGGAACCGCGAGTGCTTGGGCTCAGCCTTTGACGATGGAATTACTTGACCCGAAGACAGCTCATCTTGTCACCTTCGACCGATTCGTACAGAATTTTAAAGCCATGTATTTTGATACAGAGAAGAAGGCTAAAGCTGAGAAGGCGCTTAGATCGTTATCGCAAAAAACCACCGTGGCGGCATACACCCACGAGTTCAACTCGCATTCCCATAACACTGGCTGGGAAGTGCCCACCCTGATCAGCCAGTACGAACAAGGGCTGAAACGCGATATTCGAGTCGCCATGGTCTTAGTTCAAGATGACTTTACTTCTATCGAGCAAATTTCAAATCTCGCCATCAAACTCGACAACAAGTTGCACGGAGCTATCGACACATCTACGTCACTCAGTGCCCCTACCAGAGACCCTAACGCGATGGACATATCAGCGTCGTTCACCAGACTCTCTGACGAAGAGAAATCCAAATGTCTACAAACGGGACGCCAAACAAGGCCACAGGGCTAACGAATGTCCGGATAGGAGGAGTGATTGTGACCGTGGGAAGAAGAGAGATGTGTATGGAGCCAAGATTGCTGAATTGGAAATGAAGTTAGCCGCAATGGGAGATAAGGGAGAAGGGCCTAGTCGATCAGATAATTCAAAAAATGGAGGCGCTCAAGCCTGACGGTTGTGCCAAGCTTGAGCAAAAGGGGATTAGTAGAGACTTTAGAATTAGGAGCCAGCGCAGTTGTAATTTGCAATAATGACGACCCTTGTCTGTTTTTGCCCGTTTCCTTTTCTTTGTCCCATGTCCCCCGAGCCACACCATTTAGAATACCACCAGCCCGTCTTTTGATTGACTCCGGCGCAACTCACAACGTGCTAGGAGAGGCATTTGCCAGAACAGCCGGTCTACTCCAACACGCGATTCACACATCAAGAGACATATCAGGCTTTAACGGATCTCGATCAACTTCATCTTTCGAAGCCGACCTCACCATCGACCACGACCCTCACGCATCACGATTCATCATCACCCCCATCAAGAACACCTACGATGGGATCCTTGGGATGCCCTGGATTCGCGACAACCATCACCGCATTGACTGGATCAATGGAACCGTCAGGACACCGGAACAGGTTTCTGCCTCTGCAGTAGCAGAGTCGTCTTACCCGACAATACCCTTACCAAACCCCAAAGTGGAAGTGGCGAGGGAAGCTAGGCGTAGTGACGAGGGGATGTGCGTTGTGAATAATGCTCTAATATCCCCGCAGAGTAAGTCTTCTCACTCTTTCAATCACGCTTTCAAAGAAGAGACTCGCAAGCCACTACATCCTCTACAGAAAGTACCCGTGATCCAAGAGACTCTCAACGAAACGGAAGGCATCACAAACCCAATCACGACATTAGACCCGATTGCAACTGTTTCTACAGTTTCGTCGAGCCCGCACAACCCCCCTGAGGATCCTGAGGAGACGCTTTTGGGGAAAACTAGGGACTTTGACGAGGGGGCGCGTGTCAGAAATGATACTTTCACGCCCCCGCAATGTGAGTTCGACCCAGACATCATCGCTAAACTCTGTGAAGCAGCTAGCAAGCCCCTATGCCATTTGAAATTCCCATCACAGGTCAACGTAGACGCGGCAAACACTTCTTGGTCAACATCCGCACGACTAGCAGCCGAAAAGAAGAAACTCATGCCAGAGAAGACAATTGAAGAACTAGTCCCAGCAGTCTACCACCGGTATATACACATATTTTCGAAGTCAAAAGCCCAAGGCCTACCCCCAAGACGACAATACGATTTCAGAGTTGAACTTCTAGAAGGCGCCCAACCTCAAGCAAGTTGTATCATCCCTCTATCACCCGCGGAGAATGACGCACTAGAGGAGATGGTCAAGACAGGACTGGATAACGGGACTATCAGGCGCACAACCTCACCGTGGGCTGCACCGGTACTCTTTACTGGAAAGAAGGATGGTAACTTAAGACCATGCTTTGACTACCGTAAACTCAATGCAGTCACGGTCAAGAACAAGTACCCGCTACCTTTGACTATGGACTTGGTCGATAGTCTATTGGATGCCGAAGAATTCACGAAACTGGATATGCGAAATGCCTATGGTAATCTTCGAGTTGCTGAAGGCGACGAAGACAAACTAGCCTTCATATGCAAAGCAGGCCAATTCGCACCATTGACTATGCCTTTCGGACCTACGGGAGCCCCAGGGTATTTCCAGTATTTTATCCAAGATATACTGATGACCCACATTGGGAAAGACGTAGCAGCATTCTTAGACAACACCATGATCTATACTAAGAAAGGAGACCATCATGTAGCAGTTGTCAATGCAGTCTTGGAAATATTCAGCAAACACCATCTATGGCTCAAACCCGAAAAGTGTGAATTCTTGAAGACAGAAGTGGAATACTTAGGACTTTTGATATCAAAGAACAAAATCAAGATGGACCCGACCAAAGTGGCAGCGGTATCAGATTGGCCAGCTCCAAAGACGGTGACAGAACTGCAAAGGTTTATTGGTTTTGCCAATTTTTACAGGAGGTTTATTGATCACTTCTCTCAAACCACACGACCTCTACACGACCTCACAAAGGATAAGACTCCTTTTGTTTGGGATCAGAAATTTGACGAAGCTTTTCAGAAACTCAAGACAGCATTTACATCAGCACCCGTATTGAAAATAGCCGACCCGTACAAACCTTTTGTACCAGAGTGCGATTGCTCAGACTTCGCCTTGGGCGCCGTACTCTCTCAAAAGTGCGAAGATGACGGTCAACTACACCCGGTCGCGTATCTGTCACGTTCATTGGTTCAAGCGGAACGAAATTACGAGATTTTCGACAAGGAATTACTGGCCATAGTTGCGTCCTTCAAGGAGTGGAGACACTACCTTGAAGGGAATCCTAATCGCCTCGACGTCATAGTTTACAGTGACCACCGGAATTTGGAGACTTTCATGACCGCCAAGCAATTAACACGGCGTCAAGCCAGATGGGCAGAGATCCTGGGATGTTTCGATTTCAAGATCAGGTTTAGACCGGGAAAACACGGCATCAGACCCGATGCG